GTGCTGTCTGATGTTTCTTTTTGATTTTGTTGAAGAAATTCATCCATCTTTGTAGAGAAGAGGGATGTTCCTTTGAAAGGCAAGTCGTCTACACATGCATGGGTCTCAGGTGGGAGAGCAGTCGGTCTAAGCCACGCAAGTCTCCTGAGGATTATGGAGGAGGCTATAGTGCACACAAACACATCAGCTACGTGTCTGCCAGCATTCAGTGCTGCTTAGCGAGTCTGAGTGCTTCGGTCTGGATCACTTTTGCTAAGAATTCCTTGTAATCTTCTCACAAAAGAACAGCTGGGAGGTTGCCATGATAGCCTGGTAATTTGCAGCTCTCAAGTTTAAGGAAGAAGAGCAAGAAGCTTTTTGACTGAAAGGATCTGTCTTTATGCCCTCCTTGTCTGCTGGTGCAGAATGTGTGCTCACTCCTTGTTTGGACTGCAGCTCCTCTGCTATAAGAGATGGTGCAGTACTGGTAACACAGGGATCAGTACTGGGTCCGATGCTTTTTAACTTGTTTATTAATTATTTGGAGTTGGGAGTAAGCAGTGAAGTGGCTAAATTTGCAGATGACATGAAGTTGTTCAGGGTGGATTGTGAGGCACTCCAAAGGGATCTGTCAAGGATGGGCAAGTGGGCATCAATGTGGCAAATGGGGTTCAACATGGCCAAGTGCAAAGTGATGCACATTGGAGCAAAAAATCCTAACTATAAATACACGTTGATGGGGTCCGAACTGGCAGAGACTGACCAAGAGAGAGATCTTGGAGTCGTAGCAGATAACTCAATGAAAATATCTAGGCAGTGTATGACTGCAATAAAAGAGGCCAATGCTATGCTGGGGATTATTAGGAAGGCAATCGAAAACAAAACAGCCAGTATCATAATGCCCCTATATAAATCAAGGTTTGACCTCATTTGGAGTACTGTGTACAGTTCTGGTCACCACACCTCAAAAAGGATATTATAGCATTGGAAAAAGTGCAGAAAAGAGCCACTAGAATGATAAAAGGTTTGGAACACTTTCCCTATGAAGAAAGGTTAAAACGCTTGGGGCTCTTTAGCTTGGAGAAATGACGGTTGAGGGGTGACGCGATCGAGGTTTACAAGATTATGCATGGGATAGAGCAGGTTGAGAAAGAGGTACTTTTCTCCCTTTCTCACAATGCAAGAACTTGTGGACTCTCAATGAAATTGCTGAGCGGTCGGGTTAGAACAGATAAAAGGAAGTACTTCTTCACCCAAAGAGTGATTAACACATGGAATTCACTGCCACAGGAAGTGGTGGCGGCTACAAGCATGGACAGCTTCAAGAGGGAATTAGATAAGCATATGGAACAGAAGTACATCAGTGGCTATTAGCCACAAGGTATAGATAGGAACTCTCAGGCTGGGGCCAGTGATGCTCTATATTCTTGGTGCTTGGGAGGGCAACAGTGGGAGGGCTTCTAGTTTCCTGGCCCCACTGGTAGACCTCCTGATGGCACCTGTATTTTTGGCCACTGTGTGACAGAGTGTTGAACTGGATGGGCCACTGGCCTGATCCAACATTGGCTTTTCTTATGTTCTGATGTGTACACAAGAAGGAACATCCTTCTTTTTGTACTCTGGACATGTTTTGTACTTTGCATGAAGAGGTGGGAACGGATGAAGGTTTTTCTCACACTGATCATGCCATCTTCAAGATCCCTTCTAGGAAAGGGAAGGCATTGGCAACAGTTCCTGGTGTATCCGGGTAAAGACTGTCTTTGGGTTTGGCATCTATTGCAGTAATCTGAACATCTAATGATTGTGCCAAGCACATCATCTGTTCCAAATAGAGGCACAAATCATCAGTAGGTGATATGGAGTTTTGGTCTCCAACCACATCATCTGAGGATGGTTCCAAAGCCAAGCCAAAACTAGCCACGGAACCACAGTTCTCCTCCTCACAACCATAAGTTGCTGGAATGTTGTACGCAGGGCTCTTTTTGTAGAAAAAGCCCAGCAAGAACTCATTAGCATAATAGGCCACACCCAACAGCAGAAACGTATTAGCATATTAGGTCACACCCCTGACAGCACAGCTTATTGGCATATTAGGCCACACCCCCATGTTACCAGAAGTGTGGTCACCCAGCCACACCCACCTAGCAGGAATGCTTCTTATTCTGTTTACCTTGTTTGTTTTCAAAACCCAGGGCTTTTTTGTAGCCGGAATGTCTTTGCATGTTAGGCCACACACCCCTAATGTAGCCAATCCTAATGAGTTTCCGATGTTGGGTGTGGCCTATTATGCTAATGAGTTCCTGCTGGGCGTGGCCAACTTGGAAGCCAGCCAGAACTCTGTTCCTCTGCGTTCCTGCCCAAAAATAGCCCTGGTTGTGCAGCTCCCAGTATGAAGGTGTCTGTGGTCTTTCTATTACTTGGACCAAATAATTTCCCGGTTCCATCCTAGGTTCTGGCAGCTCTTGCCACTCATTATAACCTTGTAGAGGGCAGCAACTGCCTCAACGGCTCGAATTGGAAGGGGCCCCTCTGTTGCTAAGCTAACTAAAAAATCTTCCAGTGGCTGGCCTATGCGTGCACAAGTACCTATGTGGGACTGCACAAAAGAACGACAATGAACTAGTGGTTTGGATCCAGCCAACTTCTTTGCTCAGTCTTTCCCAGTACCCATCCTTATTATTCCAGTCCTCGTCTCCTATGGTTTTTGTCTACACAGATCCCATGACCCCTCAATGTATCCTTTCTGGTGGTCAATGGGGTAATCCGTCTTTCCTTTTTCACTACCACTAAAAGTTGCTGGATCCAATCTGACATCTTTTTTCTTTTGTGAGAAACATTGTGTCTTTGTTGTTTTGTACCTTGTATCACCTGATCTTTGTGGTTGGGCTTACATCATTTATGTGAAACCATTCCTAGCCAATCTTGCTGAAAAAAGTTGTAGGCATATGTTCACAAATAATTTTGAATGTCATGCCATGATCACCTTGAAGGTTTGCATGGACAGTGATAGGCTAATTCCATGAAAGTGTACCCATGCAAGAAACAAACAACTTGTTCAAAGTTACCATGTCAGATATGGATTCCCCCCCCCCGAGAAATTTCAGGATAGCAAAATGACCAATGTTTTCAACATCTTCAGAACAGATACCATCCTAAGACCTGTATTTCCTGGCAACTGCAATATCTGCCAAGTCTTCGGTGACAACTTTTTTTTTTTACCTTTTGAATTTTATTCCAGACACGTTCTTTATCACTTTTTCTTCCTTCGAGGGTGTCCATAGCATCTGCCATTAGCGACTGCAGCTGTGGCACCAAGATAAAAATTATCGGAATGGAATTCACACAGAAATAACTTCTCTAAATACACAGATTAAAACCTAATTAAAAAATCATTTGTACGCTGATGATTTTATTACTCATCTTTTGCACAATAAGCACCATCACTGCCGTTATTTTTTTTTTTGTGCGCCTCTCACCCATATTTGCCTTGCATTATTGTGGAACATACAATGCCCCCAAATAAGGAAAATTCAGCTAGAAATTTTGGACTTTAGAATATGGGTTTTGCAGTGCAACTTGAAGCGGAGTTACTGCCTTTTAAATCCATTGAAGCCGATGGGCTTAGATGGATGTAACTGTGTTTAGAATTGCACTGCTTGTGCCAGGACAATCTTGCTTTGTGAAATGCAGGATTGTGAGAATTACATAAATACAGAATTTTGTACACGCATGGAATATATATGTTGTCTGCTCTGTCTGGCATCAACTTTGTAGGTTCTCAGGGAAAGGAAGATTTCCTCCAACTGTCTCAGGTTCTTTAACTGGACTGAGCCTGGGGGGTGCTCTGGCCAATGCATGAACCACTCTAAGTTAAACACACTTAAGACCCATTGATTTCTGTAGGAGATTTGAGCACATTTGGAGGCGGGGCCATGGTTCAGTGTGGTAGAGCATCTGCTTGGCATGCAGAAGGTCCCAGGTTCAGTCCCCGGCATCTCCAGTTTTTGGTTTTTTTCAAAGGCCAGGAAATAGGTGATGTGGAAGACCTCAGCCTGAGACCCTGGAGAGCTGCTGCCAGTCCGTGCAGACAATACTGTGATGGACCAAAGGTTTGATTCAGTATAAGGCAGATTCACATGGTTACATTCCTCTCATTGAAATTAACAGGCAGCAAAGTGCTCATCTTTCACTGGGTTGTGCCCATCTTTATAATGAATTATAACCTGCCTCTCAACCTCATGAGGTCTTCAAGGTGGTTCACAGCCGCCGTAAAACAATTTAAAACATATGCCCCAGCTGAACCTGGGGGCACAGACACATGGACGCAGCATCCTACTTTTCCAGTCTTCCCAATGACATAATTTAAATGTCAGGGTTAGCAGACAGGGAATAGTCTAAGGAAGATTAGCTTATTCATCACTGAATATATTCAGCATGGGCTTCTGATTCTGCCAAGTTCTCTAAAGAAAGATAGCAAGCATTGCAAGCACTCCGGAGGTTCGCTGGAAATCTACCCTTGAGAAGGTCACCGTGTTTTCCAGAAGGTAAATTTTGCAGCTGGGAGATCTAGTTTTAAGTAATGTTTTCACAGCATGTGCTTAAGCTGTGATGTATGACTTGGGCTGCCACCCGTCCCAGAGGAAAACCCTGGCCGCTGTTCATTTGCATACAGTAATTAATTCAAATGCTTGCAAATTTAAAATTACTCACTCTTTTAGCTTGCAGCAGAGCGCTGAGTTGTGTTTTGTGTCATGAGAGCCAGGGCATTTACCCATAAGGTCGCCAGGGATACCCTTTTTGTTAAAGACTCCTCCAACACTACTGAGGTCATGGTAAGAACAAGGACAGCCTTTTCTTTGGGTAGCCCTTTCCTGAGAACCAGCCGCTTATGAAGCCACCACATGTCAATATTTGAACTCAGGGTGGGATCCCGAATCTAGGGATTCTATAGAACTATGGAAATGCAACACAGCTCCCATTTTCTAGCCCCATTTGAAAAGTGACATTTGGGTGGCAACACCAGACTCGGGTGGGGTTGGGGTAGGGTTGCCAGGTCTGGGTTGGAAAATACCTAAAGACTGAAAAATAGGATCTTCCAGTTTAAGCGTTTCGCTGCTCGGATGCATCTCGTGTCTCTTAGATGGAGACGCGCCGAGACCCAGCTGACGGGAGGGGTTCGCGTTCGTCCCGGACCCCCCTGGGGTCTCTGTAGGAGACCCCCAGCCTGGGGAGCTGAGGAGAGCCTCTTCCAAGGGGATGATCAAGGAATTGAGGATCACCTTCTTCCCCGATAGGTACCGTCGTTGCAGAGTCAGCATGGCGCCCAGAGACGACTGCCAGAGCAAGCGATCCCGATCAAACTTCTAAAAAGACTTCCAAAAGAGCTCCAAGGCTACAAACTGTGAGTTAAGCAAAGCTCAGGTGAAAAATAAGCGAATGGAGCCTTGGTAGTAATTGGGAGTGCCTAAGTTTGAAGCGCGGGGGGAGGAGATTTTAAGCCCCCCCCCACATGAGTAAACTGTAAAAACGGTTTTAAAGCGAAAATAAAGAGACTTTGAGCCAAACTAAGCATATAAGAGTTAAGCGAACGCAAAAGCTGCAAAAATATACGAAGCGGAATTAAAACGCATAACTTTTGCTTTGTTTTGGAAAACTTACTTCTTGTTGTTATTATGGCTGGGAGAGGATGGAGAGCACCGGAGAAAAAACTGGTGACCGGAAATAACATACCAACGACTCCCTTCCAGAACCAGGAAGCATCTACAGACTTCTCTTCGTTGTTAGCAAATGCACTGCGCCCTCTAATGGATCAGATGACTACTAACACCAAACTAGATAATGTGCAAAAACAATTAAAGCAGATGGACAAGAAAACCACAGCAACTGAGAAAACGCTGAAAAAGATGGAAAAACAGACTGAGAGTATTAATAAAAGAGTGTATGAAGCAGAGAAGGAGAGATCCTCGGATAAAACCCAACTAATACAGCTCCAGCTGGAAAGATCCATGTATGTTCTACATTTCCATGGAATACCTGAGGATAAGAATGAGGA